TTTGACTTGCCTCTTTTGATTCATATATATATATATATATATATATATATATATATATATATATATATATATATATATATATATATATATAAAAAAGATAGAAACTGCAGTGTATATATATATATATATATATATATATATATATGTAATAGATGTTATTTCTTCAGAAATGTGAAGAATAAAATACAATATATACTAAAACAAATCCACATTATAACAAAAACGTTTGCAGTTTCTCTCTTTTTTTAAATATACATTTTTCTCTCGTTCGAAGAACTATAACGTTTTCCCTATATATATATATATATATATATATATATATATATATATATATATATACGTATGAACATAAAAAACTCTTAAAGTAATTGTCGGACTTTGTCCATTTCACAATGTGTGACGTCATTTGTTTACATTTGGATAAGCATCGAGCAGATATGAATGTGCGTGAAAAAATCATGGGAAATTGTAGTTTAAAAGCAGTAAAATCGACCTTGCTGACCGAAATATAGGGTATAGATTCGATTCCTGTCGGAGGACGCATATTTTATATGAAAATTTCTCGGACATCGAGGCCGGCAAATGTCACTAATACTGTTTATTATAAACAGAGTATTTATTTAAATATGTGTAACGATAAAAAGAACGTATAAACATAAAAAAAGTCTTTATATATATATATATATATATATATATATATATATATATATATATATATATATATATGTGTGTGTGTGTGTGTATACAAAATATATATATATATATACACAAAACAAATTTGATTATTGTCTCTTCGTGTAATTCTTTTCCTTGTATTTTTTTATTTCTCGAATATATATGTAGTTTAATCATTTCATAAAGCAAGTCGATAATGACTCTAATACGTAAGGTGGTTACTGAGTCTGAAAGAGAATGAAAGGACATTAGAAAAGACCCTAAACCCAATTCTAATCAGGTAGAAATTTCTGCCTTCTCAATCATTTTGAGGAACCAGTGCAGTCTTCTGTGAGAGACAAGATTCTGTGAACTACATCCTGTTATTCGTCAGAAAGCTCAATATTTAAAATAGTTCATGGTGATATAATGTAAATAGTGTACATAATACCTCATCTCAGAAATATAAATAGATACTGAAATATATATATATATATATATATATATATATATATATATATATATATAAAATGCCCCCTCTCAGCATGTGATGGATAGATCGTGGTACGATAAAGCTTATTGCTTTCTGTTAACTTGAAAACTAGAGTCATGTTCTTAAGAATTATTGTAACATCGATGGCAAACTTAATCTAAAAATACCTACAATGTTAACTGTATAAAAACGCTTTCAGAGATACGTTGTTAAAAATGGATTCAAGTGAATGAAGCCTGTAGGACCATCCGTCTTTGAATATCGTGCATTGGCGCTACATAATCATAAACAAAGCACTGTACCAAATTACAGAAACCGTATGACTTAAGAACATTCACCAACAGCATCAGCTCAAATGGAGAGCTCAAATCCCTTGGAGAGAAAATAATGACATAATCAAGATACTTACATGCCGCACCAGTTCAAACAAAAGGCATTACTAGTAAGAACGATAACATTTAGTGGAATGAGAAATAGTTTTAATAGAAAGATTTCAATGATGGCACCAACTCTGTATCCATCTTAATAAAATGCAGTATGTGTAAATACTCCATAGGGATAAATTTTCGCAAATTTAGTATAAGGCAAAAGTCAGCTTAGGTTGTTTCGCCCTACACAAAAAATGGAAACGAAGCCAAAACATCTACCAAAAAAAGCGAGCCATGTTTTTCAATAGCCTGGTGGGACCAAGACTTCCATGTCTGACGCCGAAGCAGTTCAGAAATATTTAAACTATCAGCTTTATACAATCGCTTCCTAAAATCCAATTTTTTTAAATACTATATTCGAATATATATATTCATTGTAATTATAGAAGCTGTCATAAAAATTATTTCAAAGTGTTTGCACATTTCGTAGTCTCGCATATTTCTTATTAAAGTTTTCCAAAACAGAAACTATGATTCAAAAATTGGAATGAAAGCAGTGATGGCAGCTACTCTGAATCTATCGTAATAAATGTAGTATGTCGCATTAGTAAGTACTAAACACTCCAGATGGATCAATTATAGAAAATTTAGTATAAGGTAAAAGACAGCTTTGGTAGTTTAACACAGCAAATTGCTACGAAACCAAAACATCTACCAGAAAAATCGAGTCATGTTTTTAAATAGCCTGGTGGGATAAAGAATTCCATACCGATGTTATGCCAGACGCCAAACCATTTCAGAAAGATCTGGACTATCATCTGTATACAACCGATTCCTAAAATCCAAATTGAAAAAAAAAAAAGAAGGTTTTCAAAGAGTTACGCCTGACGGTCTTGGAAAAGATAATTCCTTCTTTGAACAATGTGGATTCTCGCCACAGATTCAGGAACAAAGATCTGTATCAAATATCAGAGACCTCATCGCTTCTGGACTACCAACAGCAGCAGCAACTGAACTGGATATCATATATGACTCGAAGAGAAAATAATGACACAGTCAAGATGCTGACCTACCACAACAGTTAAAAAGAAAGTTAGAAAAGAAACCCCCATTAATACTGGAATGAGAGATAACAATGGAACGACAAATGGTTTTAAGAGAAAATTTCATAAATTTCAACCGACATTAGAACTGGATGTTCGGTCAATGACTACGAAATGTTTGCTTAATAGGAAAAGGCTAATATTATCTTTGCTTTTGATGGCAAGGCAATAAAGCCACTAAGACACAGCATGTACTGAACAAGGTAATATATGCCTCCTATTTTAATACTTTGTCAGTATTCAAATAGATGACAACACAAACGTTTCTTGAATGTCTCGGTCGACCCTTTAGCGACAGATTTGTCATTTAGAGACGTAGGTTTTTAAATTTACGGGCAAATTAAGCCACCATGTCTTCAGTTAAGCTATGTGCCATGAGAGATACACGCACAAAAGATCATGTATCTTTTGATACATAACTGACGAGGCAGATTTTTTCCCCTCAGTAGGTTGCCATTTCTTTCTCCGGTAGACCAGTAGCCATCCATGGCTAGTGAACCCGATCTGTCCTGATATTTAACCATAGCTGGTGGGAGAAGACGAGGATAAATAACTTTCCCAAGGATATTAGCACGTAAGTAAATATAATGGATTCGACTGGAATTCGAACTCGGCTCTCCGATTTCTCAATCAGTTCCTCCTAGTCAGTGATGTGCCATGCGTGATACACGCTTCGGAGATCATGTATCTTTCGATACATGACTGACGAGGCAGATTTTTTTCCCGTAGTAAGTTGCCATTTCTTTCTACGGTAGACCAGTTGCCATCCATAACTGACTGAATACCATTGCTATCACTATTAGTATTGTTCCTACAACTTTTGGAGCTATTCATTTAACCGTCGCTACCACCATTTTTATCATTGTTATTATTATTATTATTATTATTTTCTTTGATTTTTGGTATTTACACATTTCTTTCCAGGTCCCGCCCAGGGACCTAAGGTTAGAAATGGCGTCATGACACTTTCCACTGACAGAAAAAAAAAAATACATAGATAAAGCCCTTCGTAAAGTGTGGGCTGTACTTGTCAAAACAGATTTTTGTATCTCTTTGAGGCATAGACTTCCAGGAATCCCTTCAATTTGTCTACTGCAATCTTTTCCAACCGGTCCTAGGGCTCCAAATTATTATTATTATTATTATTATTATTATTATTATTATTATTATTTTCTTTGGTTTCTGGCGTTTACACATTTCTTTCCGGGTCCCGCCCAGGGACCTAAAGTTAGAAATGGCGTCATGACACTTTCCACTGACAAAAAATAAATTAAAGAAAAAAAAAATTACATAGATAAAGCCTATGTGCTGTACTTGACAGAACAATTTTTTGTATCTCTTTAAGGCATAGACTTCCAGGAATCCTTTCAGTTAGTCTACTGCAATCTTTTCCAACCAGTCCTAGGGCTTCAAATTATTATTACCACAATTATTATTATTATTATTATTATTATTATTATTATTATTATTATCTTTTATTTACTATTTATTAATTATTCATTTATTTTTTGTTGTTATCGATATTAATAGTGTTATTGTTGTCATTATTATTGCTTCCATCTTTATAAGGGATAACTTTACCTTTCATCATAACTAATAAGATATCAATTATTATGAATATATCAAAAATAATATCACAGCTAATATTACCATTAATATAATTACAATCGCAGTTTTTGTTAAAAAAATTCAAACATCATCGCCATGTCCACACACAGAACCTAACTTCACCCAGGTGGTGATAGTAGACCCAAATCAATGATTTATTTCTTGTGACGAAACGAGAGATGCTGGTAGTTTTAAAATTTCTTTGAAAGAATATTTTCGAAAGAATATTGGTTGTTTCAATCTAGCCAAATTCATCAGTATTTTTTTTTCTTTTTCTCTTCATCACCTTTTCCGGGACTATCCCACACTGTAACAATATACAATCTCCCAAGAATGGTGACATATTGTAAAAGCCTGAACGCAAATTTACCGTGGCTAAACTGGCGATCAAGGCACTTTCCAGACATTTTCGTCTCAGCGGGTTATTTTATCTTTTTATCAAAGTATGTGGTCTGTTTTGTTACGGTGACCAACCACTGCGTTTTTTTGCGTTGTTGTTTAAATGTCTTTTTTGTTTAAACTTCTTGAGGTTTCTCCAATGCATTTATTCTGGCAATTCCTGCATTTAATAGAGTAAATTCGTCTTTTAAGTTTTTGCTTGTTGTTTTGTATTTATTGATTAAGTTTTTTATTGTTTTAGATTTCGTCGTGACAAAATTTATGTTGAATCTCGATAAATTCTTTTCAGTTGTAATTGTGATAGAGTTAGTGGGTAGAATAATATATTTTTTGATTCGTTGATGGCAACTGGCATGACTATATGTATAAGATGACAATAGATAGATAGATAGATAGATAGATAGATAGATAGATAGATAGATAGATATATATGAGGCGTGGTGGAATAATGGATATCGGCTTGGATTGAGGAATCGGAGAGACGAGTTCGAATTCCTGTCGAATCCATTACATTCGCTTACGTGCTAATACCCTGGGAAGGGTGTGAAACCCTTTCTTCTCTCTCCAACTATGCGTAAATAGTGGAACATTCTGTAGCCTTGGATGGCAACTTTTCTAGAAGAAAAGTCTGAATCGACAATTGGGCACCTTGTGGCACGTAGTGTACTAAGTCTCTGTATTCGGCCCTTCAAAAAGTGTGGATGGTCCTGCACGAAACCTTCACCTCTATAATCAAATCTCATGTGCTGGTGTCGAGCTGTCGGTTTCCTAGGGACTGATCTGCTTGACCCTCATACATCGAATTCGGCAGGAGAGTATATATATATATATATATATATATATATATATATATATATATATATATATGACAATTGGAAAAAAAATCTTAGTTTTTTGCCGACGCGTTTCGTCTTCCAAATTTTCAAGGCAAAAATGACATCAAAATGTTTTTGTTTTTATAGTTACATTACAAAAACCAAATTTTTAAAACGAAAGACGCTTTTGAGTAAGTCTCTTTCTGGTTAATGTAAATTACTTTTATACTAATAGTTTTTTTTTAACCATGTCGACAATATAGTGAAATTCCCAAATCAGTTCTGTGGACAAGACAGTTAGGTAGAAGATGACAATTGGAAATTTTTTCCAGTTGCCATTTTATACAAATTTGTCTTGCCCACAGAACTGATTTGGGAATTTAAATATATATATATATATATATATATATATATATATATATATATATATATATATAGATAGATAGATAGATAGATATTACTTGTAAATATACACATACATATGCAAAATATATAAATATATATACATAAATGCATACACATACATATATATTTTTTTTGAATAAAAATTCCAAGAGGATAGAATTCAGGTAGAACTCAATGTCCAGGACAGAGTAAGGATATAATAAAAAGGCGTAAACACTAATATTTCATGGTCATAATTTATTCCACTGGAATCGTAATCACGATCCAATTCATCAGACCTACAAATTCAAAAACCTTTATAGGTCTGATGAATTGGATCGTATTTACGATTCCAATGGAATAAATTATGACCATGGAATATTAGTGTTTAAGCTTTTATATATATATATATATATATATATATATATATATATATATATATATATGAGCGTATGTTTTACCTAATTTGTATTGATTAATATCATTTGTATATTTGCACCGCCAATGGGACGTTTTTATGATTACGTCTTTGATATTTTTTAGATTTCGTAGTGACAAAATCTTATCGGTTGTAGTTGTGATAGAGTTATTGGTAGAATAATATATTTCTTTGATTCACTGGATTTTTCAGGAAGAACAGTTCTCCTATTTTTAATATATTTTCAAATAGAAATGTCATATATATATATATATATATATATATATATATATATATATATATATAGTTGTTTATGTGTGTATAAGATGAAAATTGGCATGACAATATGTATAAAAGGACAATTTATACATATATTCTTATATTAAGAAATGGACAAGGTCCGACAATTTATTTATTAAAGACATTTTTATGTTTAACGTTGTTATTTATAGATACAAGTATTTAAGCAAATGCTCTGTTTATGATAAACAGTATTAAATAACATTTACCGGCCTGAATGTCCGAGAAATTTTCATAGAAAATATTCGTTCTTTGACAGGATTCGAACCTGCATCCTATACGGAACCATCATTTACGCTGACGTGCCTTAACCGTCTCGGCCACAAAGAACCTTTCGGTAGATTGAAGTTTATAAGCAGTAAATTCGACCTTGTAAATATATGCTTATGTATAACATGACGATCTATAATTCGAATATACGCTTTTAAGTAGGCGCCCAAGGGGGTCGTCAGTGATGTTTTGATTTGGTTCATCAAGGAGTTTCGGGTCTTTCAACATCATACTCCCCATCACCAAATCGACCCAATCAGGAGAGATCAACCCCTGATTCCCTCTCCCAATTAAACGCTTACAGCTACTCTGGCCTTTTTAAAGAATAAGAGGAAGAAAGACCACATATTCCGCACATCCGATTGGATGTTTGTAACAACCAATCCGTTGCGCGAAATATCTTTTAAATGGCCCGCGGTGGGGACTGTCTTCTTTTCTTATTTCAGTGGATTGCAGTTTCAATGGATAACTGAGGAGATAATCTTAATCTTCCTAAATCTTACCCTTTTCCTTAAGTATTGTAAGGTTTAATTATTTGCCGTTTTTATTTTATTTGTACTTTTTTCTTTTCTTTTGGAGGGGATATTTAACTCAACCCTATTATCACATTTTATCGTTTAGCCTGTTTCTTAACATTATTGCATGTTAACTTTAAATAGATGTATTCGCAAAATTAAGATAATAATTGTCCATAAACATGGCGTATATATATATATTTCCCGTACATACAAAAATGAAATTAAAAATAAAATAAAATAAAATAAAAGTACAATAAGCACTATAATATTCCTTAACATTGATTTTAAACTATATACAAATTTGAAGTCGTTAAATATAATAGACGACGAAATGATCTTGGAGTATATCAAGTATTAACGAAGCTTCATATTATATTAATATATATATATTGCTTAAAACCGATGACAAACTAATAAAATAAAAATAATATACAAACGATATATGGCAATAATCGCTTGAAGATGGAACAGAGCTTATTTTAACTCAATTTAATTCAAATAATTATATTGAAGTTTTCGGCTCTTGTTTTGAAACATGAGACCTCTTATATCGCGAGTTGGAATCATATTTTTAAATAAATAATTATATATATATATATATATATATATATATATATATATATATATATTTAAAAGAAAAACAGACCACTTTAAGGTACCATTACAATAATTTATTTCCCCAGAGTCCTTTTTAAAGGACGCCGGATCATCAGATAGCACTTCCAAAAATGAAATGAAACGAAAAATGAGATTAAAATTGATGGGTAGTGTAAGTTTTTGTAATTTAACAGGGGGTGTGAGAGGGATAGTAGAAGAGACATGGTAGAGTATAGCGAGGGGTTAATTTCATCTCTCTCTCAAGTGTACTTTATATTGGGGTAGGAGGAGTGACCAGACCTTGACCTATTTAGATGGTTAACTTAACGGAAATGATATATAGAAATGGGAGCGGAGTAGGGAGAAAAGAAAAAGGAAAAATGAAAAAGAAAGAGGAGACAGACGACAGTAATAGAGATATATCTAAAAGAGTGTTACTGTAAGGAGAGAGAGGGAGAGGGAAGTAAATCGAAATGGGCTGTAATTGGGATTTAACAATTCCAATGCTTGATAGAAATTTAGATGCCTAAAAAAATTTGATGATTGTTATCAATTTAAATATTTAATTTTACAAGTAAATAGTTTAGGGACTTAATATAAGATAACTACTATTTTTATTAACGCATTTATAGATAACATATTAAAGAAATATTTTAAATTTTAATAGTTTATTTACCCGACCAATGTTACTTCCTTAATATTGTAAAAAAGAAAAAAAAATATAAAAAATACGGTAACATCTATATTAGTTTTACTTTTAATCTAATTTATGAATGCAATTTTTCTTTATTATTATATGGGTAAACTCACTTAAGATTTAGGTTTCATCATGGAATAATATTTGAGGATAATATTAAAGATTTGCTTTCTTCTTATATATATCACAAACATATTCTTGCAAAAGGGCTCTGGTGAAATAAATTATTGTAATGGTACCTTAAAGTGGTCTGTTTTTCTTTTAAATATTAGCTCTGGTTTTACATTGAGCTCTCAGGATTTCATCCTTCTTGGGATTACCCATACAGGTTACCAAGTTCTTCATAACTTAACTATATATATATATATATATATATATATATATATATATATATATATATATAAAACATGACAATTGAAATGTTGCTAACGCTTTTCGTCTACCGACTTTTTCAAGGCAAAAATGAAATCGTAATGTTCTTGTTGTTATAGTTACATTACAAAATTAAATATTCTTTATATAAGAGGTATTTTTTCATGTCGGCAATATAAATTCCCAGATCAATTCTGTAGAGAAGCCAAATTAGTATGAGATGACAATTGGAAATATTTTTACAAGTGTCATCTTATATTGATTTGTCTAGTTTTGAATTGATCTGGGAATATATATATATATATATATATATATATATATATATATATATATATAGGCGCAACAGAGTCTTCCAAGTTAAATTTGTTTTTGCTGACTATCAAGCCTCATTTGTATATTTGCACCGCCAATGCTAAGTTTTCATGAGTGAGCCAAGACCGATGTATTTGAAAGCGTGCAGGGGAATGGAGTTGAAAGTTGGAAAAGGAAAAAAAAATCAAAGAGAAAACCCCCAAAACAAAGAAAGTAGAATGAAATGATCACGTCATTCTTGAAAGTGAAAGTGAAAGTGAAAGTGCGCTGGAAGATGGTGGGCAGTAAATGGGATGATCGATGCTGAGTTCACAGCCTGATTTGCCCCCAAGTCAACTGGGTACCTGTAACACTTCACAGACTTGCTGCGAATGCATTGGAAAGCAAAAGAACACGCACACACACATGCAAGCACCCCCACCCCCATCACACACATAATTATATAATTATAAAACAGTTATAGGTCAAAGTATATTGGCTGATTTCCTAATTATATATATATATATTTATATATATACTGGGTTTGCGTGTAAAGATTATTTTATTAATGTAGACATCTTTATAAATGTGTGTGTATATATATATATATATATATATATATATATATATACATGTCTGTGTGCATATTATTTAGAATATATACATATATATAAATAATATCAGTAGTCAATATATATATATATATATATATATATATATATATATATATATATATATATATATATATATGAATTTCCAAGAGGATAGAATTCATGTAGAGCTCAATGTCAGGACAGAGCAAACACTAATATTCCATGGTTATAATTTATTACATTGGAATCATAA